CAAAACGCAAAGAAAATGTGACAAAACACAATCAAACCTGAGAAAACACCACCACAAATAATAATAATAATAATAAAGAGTCTTAATGACAGTTAAGGAAATGCATGAAAATTGACATTTTAAAAGACATTTTAAAAAAAATCACCAAACAATCCCAATAATTCACAAAACAAACGATAACAACATGTGACATAAACACACATCACAAATAAACCAGATCACAAAACACACTAACAAAACATGAAATTCATCATTTTATAACGAAAAAAAAAAAACACAAAACCAAACCACAAAAAAATCAAAACAAAACATAAAAATGAACATTTTTCAAGACAGAATGTAAAAAAAAAAATGCAATTAAATAAACCAGATAATTCACAAAGCAACTAAATTTATTAAAACACAGTAACAAAACATGAAAATATATTTAAAAAAAGCATTTTATAGTGTCATTATTTGTATTTTACAACCTATTAGTGATTTGTTTATTGTGTGTTTTAAAGTTTGGGTTAAAAACTAAAGCTAATGATTAAAAAAAGCACACAACATCAACCTGAACAGGGTTTTCTTTTCACATCTTCATCATAGAAGTGACTCACAAATCACTTGTGTGGATGTTTATGAAACTCTCGCTCTATTGTGATCCATTTTTCTTCCAAATGTTTTTCCAACGTGTTTCTTGTTCCACAATTTTTATGCTATTTCAACAAATCATAAATCAAAACATTCAGCTCTTTCAGGACAATCCTGTTGTGACTTTTGATACTGATGCAACTTTAGCTTTTTGAAATATTTAGCCTTTTCTGCCCCTTTTTTTTTTCTCATAGAAAATGAATTGAGCTCATTTTACATCTTTTAAATCTTTAGATGTGTTTACAACCTTTTACTGCTCCTTTAACATTTTGTTCTGCTTCAGCTTCTTTCAGCTTCCTTGTGCAAATTTAAGTGTTTTTCAGCTACTTTCAGTTAATGCTGTTTTTTCTGCTGTTTTGTGCTCATAGATTCTATCTACTAGTTAAACCATTTTTTGTGCTACTTCTAACTTCTTTCTGCTAATTTCAGCCTGTTATCCTCCTTTCAGCTTATTTCTGCAAGTTTCAGTCTTTTCTACTATTACTGCTACTGTAAATAGCTGTTGTATGCTAATTTAAGCTTTTTCAGCTAATTCCATGTTTGTTGCACGCATTTAAACTTTTTTCAGCCAAATTCAGCAAAAATGTCCTCTCTCCACTTCCATTTTGTAATTTTAGTTTCTTTTTGCCTTTTCAGCTACCCTTCAGCTGTTTCTTGCTTATTATATCTTTTTTCAGATAATTTCTACTTTTTGTGTTAATTTTTGCTTTTGTCAACCCACTTGGGCAAACGGGTGTTCTTTCTGCTTTCTTATGCTAATTTAATAAGCTTGTTCTATGTTTTCAGCTAACTTTTAATAAAAGTTTAAGCTAATTTCAGCTGTTTTCAGATAATTTCAAGTTTTTCCATGGTAATTGTTACTACTATCAGTCTAATTAACTTTGTTCTGTTAATTTCAGCTTGTTATGCTCTTTTCAGCTTTACTCAGCTAGTTTCAGCTTTTTCTGCTTTCAGCTACTAGTTAGCTGTAATATCCTAATTTTAGTTTTTTTTCAGCTAATTCCACGTTTGTTGCACTCGTTTACATTTTTTTTCCAAATTCAGCAAAAATGTGCTCTCTCTTCACTTCCTTTTTTGAAATTTCAGCTTGTTGTTGCTTTTTCAGCTACAAAGTACTTTTCAGCTGTTTTTCTTACAAATTTTTTTTCTTCAGATAATTTCTAATTTTGGGGCTAATTTCTGCCTTTTTTCAGCCCACTTGGGCAAACTTGTGTTCTTTCTGCTTTCTTATGCAAATTTAAGCTTGTTCTACCTTTTCAGCTACCTTTTTAGAAAAGTTTAAGGTAATGTCAGCTGTTTTCAGATAATTTCAAGTTTTTCCATGGTAATTGTTGCTACTTTCAGTCTAATTAACTTCTTTCTGTTAATTTCAGCTTGTTATGCTCTTTTCAGCTTTACTCAGCTCGTTTCAGCTTTTTCTGCTATTTCAGCTACTATTTAGCTGTAATATGCTAATTTTAGTTTTTTTCAGCTAATTCCATGTTTGCTGCACTCATTTAAATTTTTTTTCCAAATTCAGCAAAATTGGGCTCTTTCCTCTTCCTTTTTTGAAATTTCAGCTTGTTGTTGCTTTTTCAGCTACTTTTCAGCTGTTTTTCTTGCAATTTTTTTTTTCAGATAATTTCTAATTTTTGGGCTAATTTCTGCTTCTTTCAGCCCACTTGGGCAAACTTGTGTTCTTTCTACTTTCTTATGCTAATTTAAGCTTGTTCTACCTTTTCACCTACCTTTTTTTAAAAAAAGTTTAAGCTAGTTTCAGCTGTTTTCAGATGAATTCAAGTTTTTCCAATGGTAATTTTTGCTCCTTTCAGCCCAACTAACTTATTTCTGCTAATTTCAGCTTGTTGTGTTCCTTTCAGCTTTTCTCAGCTAGTTTCAGCTTTTTCTGCTATTTCAGCTACTATTTTGCTGTTTTATGTAAATTTTAGCTTTTTTTTTTAGCTAATTCCACTTTTTTTAGGCTTCTTTCAACTCTTTCCACTTGCTGTTCATAGATTAAGTTCCGTTCTGCCTTTTTGGC